CCGTAGTTTGCCCATTGCTGGTCTAGACTCTAGAGGAGCCTTTCTCAAACGTTTCAGCACAGAGGAACCCTTGAAATAACTGTCGGGTCTCATGGAACCCCTGCTAAAAATTACTCTATCTACAACTATGGTACATCAGTGTGATGGTCAGTGGGAAGAATGCTCTTTACACTTGTGTCATTGGGAAGAATTACCCTCTTACAGATAGCTAAAAAGATCACTGCTGTCAGTGGAAACTTATCTGAGACAGAAATTGCTCGTTGTTCAAGGAACCCCTATCAACCTCTGGAGGAACCATATAGTTCCATGGAACCCTGATTGAGAAACTGCTCTAGGGGAAGAAAAAAAACACAGAAAAAAGGAAGCGAATGCAATGACTAATGAAATGTAATATATTCAAATTGTGCTCTTGGGTTTAAAGCAGACCTTCAGTCTTTCTTCTTTACATATAATTGCTCCTTCACCCCCCTCCTGTAACAATTTTTTTTCTTGACAATTTTTTTTTTTTTTTACCAGCTGGAATTCTGCCACTCTTACGTGTTAAGCATCCCAGGAGTTTTTGGGGCAATTTACACCCTAATGTGCATGCGCTGGGCAAGAACCAAGAAGAGAGGTCAACCCTTTTAAAGCTCCTTATAGGGCACCAGTTTAGTGTTACGGAGGTGGGCTGGGGCTAGAATTCTTGCTCTCATTCTGGCGTGCGCGCGCGATATGTAACGTGTATGGCAACCGCCAGTCTCATGTGTAGGTACCCCAGCGTGTGCTTTTTCGTTTGTACATGCGTATGTGAGGGACCTCAATATTTTTTGGGGGGATAGTAGTATGTGCTTGGGTGTAAATTCTTTTTTTTTTTTTTTTTTTTTGTAAAAAAATGAAAACTTTTTTTCCATCACATAGGACACAAAGTCCTCTATGTGATGATTTTTGGTGACAGGTTCTCTGAGACATCAAAGGTCTAAAAGACCCTGGATGTCTCCCCTCTGCTCCACTGGGGATTGCCCTTTCCCAGGGATTGCATTACAAACTCTCAATGGGGACCCGGAAGTGAGATCATAACGTCACTTCTGGGTCAGCACAAGAAGGGGAGGGGAGTGGACTTGTCCGTTCTTCTCCCTCTCCTCTAGCCGACAGTGAGCCAGCCCTGTAGATGGGAAGCAGAGCCCAGGAGACCTCACTCTGGGTGCATGGTGAGGCTGGCACTGTGTGGAAGCAATCAGCGGCAGCGCTGCCGCTGATTGCTTCACCTGACAGGTGAGCCCTGAAGTTTGCCCGCAGCAGGACAAAAAGGTAGAAAGAAACTACCTGCTCGGCGTGCCCGGAACTACATGTCCCGGGCGTCGGGCGATAGGAATCCAATATCCCAGCCCCTAATTTGCAGGGATTTCTCACTTCCTGTTTTGGCTATGGGACAGGAAGAGAGGGTAAATCTTCCCAATGGGATGCAGATGGGAATAGAAAAATATGGGAGGGGTTACAAGCTTCCCTTACTCTATCCAAAATTAAAAAAAAAAAAAAAAAAAAAAAAAAAAGGGTTTGGCTATAGTTCTACTTTAAGAAGAGAAGTTGGCAGCGTAAGGCCCAGTGCGCATCTGTGGAGTGACAGACTTACTAGGAAGGAGTATGTTTTTCATAGCCAACCCAAGGAACACCGCATATGTATTGGGGTAATGGGGTGTCTCTTTTGGCTCTGGGATTGTGTTACATTGGCAGTTCAGCTGTAAATAACATTCAGTGAACTTTCTCATTACAAATATCACTCCTAATCCCATGCTTTATTTCTCCAGTTGAGGGCCCCTTTTTCTAGGGCCTCCACTTTGGTGAGAGCTGCTATAACCAAGCCACTGATCTCAACCACTGACTTCTTACGGTTTAAATATCTGTATCCAGCTTCTCACCTCCACCTCCCGTTAAAGGATAATTCCACCTTTTGCAAAAAATTCATAAATGGATCAACATAGATTAAAAAAATAGTGATTTTATTTTATGGAGCCTGCAAAGCATTACAACTTTGATCATGGATACAATGCACAGGCACCTGCAGACTACACCTCCAGCCACACGTCTGTATGGAAGTACATACCTTCCATTACAGGGGCCGGAGGAAGTATCAGGACATTAACGCACTCATGTTCCATTGAGATCTACAAGTTCCTTTGACACAGTGGCAGATGGGACTTGTAGTCTTTCCATTCACAGATTTCTTTGAATGGATGTTGCAACTGCATGAGCGAAGCCTCGCACAGCTGCCCTGAATTTAAAAAATGACCAGAACCAGCAGGACAAGAACACCAAAATTCAGTAAGAGGGTGGAGTAGAGCCTCTGCTCTGAAAAGTTAATACGGCTAAGCAGCTGTTGATTGGCATTGAAGAGGCGATCCTACCAATGATGCAAGGCATCACAACTGCGGCATGGGAACAGCCTCCTCCAGCGGTATTTTAGACTTTAGGTGAGTGCCTGGGAGCAGTAAAAACTTGACTCGGCCTCCTCTTTTTACTGCCACCTATGTGAAAAAAAGACTTAGGCCTCATGCACACTGGATGTTTTGCCAACTTTCCTAACTACCACTGACATCCCAATAATGCTAATACAGTGATCACTGCTAATAAAAAGCACTGACTCTACTAATGACACTGGGCAAGAAGGGGTTAACATCTGGGGTGATCAAAGGGTTAACCATGTGCTGTGTGTGTTTTACTTGGGAAACATGCTGTGTATTTCTCTGCTGTGCAGAAAAATACACAGCAGCATGGTATTGCTGGCAGGAGAGAGACCTGTGCTGTTTACACACAGGCCTCTCCCTTGTCAGTGTTCCTCAGGTATTGGCAGAGAGAATCTCTGGCCGGGACTCGGTGATTGCCATCCGTAGCCACCAATGGTGGCACGGGTAGAGTGGCGCGCGCCCCTACCCAGAAATGCAAATCACACACACAGAGATGCGAGTTTGCGCAGCCCTACTGCCCTGTGGCAGTATTTCTGCTATAGGGTGGGGGGCAACTGGTTAACGAGGCTAACTTAGACTAATGCTAAACATGCCTAGCATTTAGACACGTTTAGGCTCATTAAGCGTTCTCAAAAAACGGCACTACTCCTGGACGCACTCAGTGGGGATTTTTTCCTGCCTCTAGGCTCCATGCACACGGGTGTTTTGATAACGCTGGTAACGATAGCTGTGTAAAATCACGTTAAAAACAGCTTTTTTTTGGCATTTTTGCATTAGCGTTTAGTGGCGGTTTTCCGAGTTTTTTTTTTTTTTTTTTTACCAAAAGAAAAAAAAAGTACAAAAACGCCGGTTTGCAGTGTTTTACCATGTTTTTCAGCTTTAGAGCATTTTACAGCTAAAAAATGCCTCTAGAAACCCACCAGTTCTAGTTTTTTTTCTCCAGCCAAAAAAATGTTGGATTACAGTCTGTGTGCATGGACACATAGGATAACATGCTGGGGAGTTTAATAGCTGTAGAAAAAAAAACCCCCAAAAAACACAAAAAGCCAAAAATAGCCGCTGTAAAAACATCCAGTGTGCATGAGGACTAAACACGCCTGCCTGTAAACGGTCCTTGAATACACAGGCTAACATGCAGGACCTCAGTTGGCTCTGAGGAAGAGGATCTGCCTCGAAACATGTCAGCTACTTGGAGGCCTACAGCCAGCATCTAGGGAGATTGGACCATGCGGTCGTTTTTGTGACGTACCTTTGATTTTATTCTTGTGAGTATACTACTTTTTATTCAATAAATCTCATTTTTAGAACGGAATACACTAGGACCATGCGCCCTCCGTTTCTTTGCACACAGCTCCCAAAAAAGTACTCTGTTTGGGATTACTGACATTGTGGAGCTCATCGTCCAGCACAGAAGTTACAGCATTCGTTTGCTCATGCTTTTATAACATGCAGGACCATGTAGAGCCAGAAAAAAAATCCCCTCCAGATACCCCTAGGAGCAGCAAGAAAAACATCAAGTGTGCATGAGGACTTCGAGCAAACTGGGACCATGTAGAGCCAGAAAAAAATCCCCCCCAGATACCCCGAGGAGCAGCGTGAAATACATCAAGTGTGCATGAGGACTTCAAGCAAACTGGGACCCCTAAAGCTTTGCAGGTTACTTCCATGAAACCAAAAAAGTGTGAATTAAACACAAACTGCTCTACAAGAGATTTTCAGGGATATTTAATCTTCCGTGTGTGTCATTTAATCTGTGCGTGACATGTGTTGGAGTTGTTAGAATGTAATTTCAGCTCATATTTCCATTTTTCTTTTGCTTTATGTTTCATAGGATGTGTTAGAGCTTGTAGTATAGTAGTGAGTGCCATGTCTGTTCTCTGACTGTGCACATAGAACAAGGAAAACCAGCAAAATGAAAGCGTAGGCCTCACTCTGATCACGACTCGTACTTTACAATGAGCTTTGTCTGTTATGCATCGTCAGTGTATAGTGGCATTTTTTGTGTAAAGGATTGCAGTCTCTAGTAATCTAATGTAATGATCTGTTCATATATGATACTTTGATTATTTGATCATGCAGAAATCCGAATTCTACAACACTCTAGCCTTCTCCACTTTTACATTTGTTTGAAAATACATATATACTAATGTTACAAATAGATTTCAGTTCTGTATGTCCGACCTTCAAAAATAAGTTACACTAGTATATATGTATTTTCAAACAAATGTAGAAGTGGAGAAGGCTACGTGTGTTGTAGAATTCAAACAAACATGTATATATGTCGGAGAGATACACGTAGGATCACACGAACACACTACACGTAGGATCACACTACACGAACACACGAACACACTACACGTAGGATCACACGAACACACTACACGTAGATCACACTACACGTAGGATCACACTACACGTAATCACACTACACGTAGGATCACACTACACGTAGATCACACTACACGTAGGATCACACGAACACACTACACGTAGGATCACACGAACACACTACACGTAGGATCACACGAACACACTAAAACATAAACCTGGGCTTCTCACCTTTTGTATGGCTTCTTGTTTCAGTTGAATATCTGCCATTGTTTCTGCAGAGGGATCAGATTGTAGATGGAGGAAGGGACAGATCCCGGTACCGTCTGTCTGCTCGGTTCTTTTTACACTTTAGACGTTTCAGCTTTGAAGGGAAAGTGAAAGTAAAGAAGAAGGGACTTTACAGAACAAGGAGGAGCAATGACTTTGTGAAATAGGCCTTGGGAGGTGCTGACAGTTAGAAGACGGATATTAAAAAAAGGGGAAGGTGGAGAACATGAAATCACCGACATCGCGTGATACACACAGAAAGAAATCACTTTAAATAGCAGGATGGGGTTATGTGGAACAATTGCTTTTACAGATCATAAATATACCATGACAATTTAATAAGTACATCAGAGCATTACCAGATTTAAACTAGAATCCAAACATGAATCAATTAATACTGTATATATAAATAATATTTGTACTGGTGGCCATCACACATCGTGCAATCTGATTGCACAATCTTTCAGATCTACTATCAACTATGTTGTCACCATTTAATTGCGTCCTATGAACAAGCTATTAACGCATACTTGGTATGAATATATTGTGGCTAAGTGTCTTATGGATATAAAGTGATTGTATGATCAATATATTCTCCTTTATGTGCCCTCAGAACGTTCTGTTTATCTCTGCTGCTATAGGAATATTTCATAGAATCTCTTCTCTAGCTCTGGGGCCTTGATGTCTTCAGGGGTGATTTTCCTTGGGCCAGCAAGTGACACATTCCATCTGTACCCGTATGCAGGCCATACATGGTTCAAATTCCAAACAATTTTTCATCTGAAAAATCAGAAACAGTTTTCTCGGTAATCCAATGGTGCAGTCATTGATTTTGTAAATCGGCCGACCAAGTCATAAAATTTACCCCATATAACAGGCAAAACTTCTGTTCCTTCCAGGCCACAGCTCATTGCCATATTCTTTTCGGAAAAACGATCGTCCGATTTGACCATCGAGTTGGGAAAAAAAAAAAACGGTCGTTTTTCACAGATTTTCCAACATGCCCAATCACCGAAAAGGGGAGAAACCACGAAAATCGGCCAGTGCCATTGACCCTCCAACAGAGTTAAAATCAGCCGATTTTTCTTAGGTCCAGTTTTCAGACGAAAAATCAGTCGATTTTTGACCCATGTATGGCCGGCCTTAGGCTCAGTTCACACTAGCATTGAAAGCAGGCATGTGATGGGCATTTTTAACGCTCCTCAAAACGCCTATGAAAATGATACACATGGCAGCACACAGTGCTGTTCACAATGAAGCATCAGCATCACATCAAAATTGACGCCTCATGTCCAGTCAGGAGGAGTTGCAGACTTTTAATGCCTCCCATTCAAGTCTATGGTAATGCTCCTCAAACATCTGGCAGGTGTTTGCGGGCGTTAATACCATTAAGTTAATTATTGGTGTTTGTGCTGCGGTTTTAATGCTTGTAAACGCCTATAAAATGCCTCAAAACCACGCATAGGGCATTTGGTAAGCATTTTGTAATGACTGTAAAATGGCCATACAAGGCTCATTAAATGCCTGTTCAATGCTATAGGGGTGTTTGGGAAGACAAGTGTGAACAAACCCTAAGACCTGTCCTTACATCTGAGTTCCTGCTCCCCAACACATAGGGGTAAGAGCAGTTCACAGTATATAGTTACATTGTATGTCTGATAATACACAGCTCAAAAAGATTAAAGGAACACTTTGAAAACACATCAGATTTCAATGGGAAAAATATCATGCTGGATATCTATACTGATATGGACTGGGTGATGTGTTAGGAATGTAAGGATGCCCCATTGTTTGAATTCAGTCCTCTGTAGGTTGATTTTAATTTCCATCAAAGACACCCCGAAAATCAAAGGGAAAAATGATACAGCAGGCTAGTCAATTTTGCTGAAATGTCATTGCAGCAACTCAAAATGGTACCGTTTAGTTTGTATGCCCCCATGTGCTTGTATGCATGCCTGACAACATCGGGGCATGCTCCTAATGAGACGGATGGTGTCCTGGGGTATTTCCTCTCAGATCTGGACCAGGGCATCACTGAGCTCCTGGACAGTCTGAGGTGCAACCTGGCGGTGTCGGATGGACCGAAACATGATATCCCAGAGGTGTTCTATTGGATTTTGGTCAGGTGAACGTGGGGGCCATTCAATGGTATCAATTCTTTCATCCTCCAGGAAATGCCTGCATACCCTCGCCACATGAGGACGGGCATTGTCGTGCACCAGGAGGAACCCAGGACCCACTGCACTAGTGTAGGGTCTGACAATGGGTCCAAGGTTTTCATCCCGATACCTAATGGCAGTCAGGATGCCATTGTCTAACCTGTAGAGGTCTGTGCATCCCTCCATGGATATGCCTCCCCAGACCATCACTGACCCACCACCAAAATGCTCATGCTGGATAATGTTACAGGTGGCATAACGTTCTCCATGGCTTCTCCAGACCCTTTCATGTGTCACATGTGCTGAGGGTGATCCTGCTGTCATCTGGGAAAACATAGGGTGCCAGTGGTGGACCTGAAAATTCTGGTGTTCAATAGCAATCGAGCTCTATGGTGCCAGACAGTGAGCATGGGGCCCACTAAAGGGAGTCGGGCCCTGAGGCCACCCTCATGAAGTCTGTTTCTGATTGTTTGGTCAGATATTCACACCATTGGCCTGCTGGAGGTCATTTTGTAGGGCTCTGGCAGTGCTCATCCTGTTCCTCCTTGCACAAAGGAGCAGATAACGGTCCTGCTGATGGGTTAAGGACCTTCTATGGCCCTGTCCAGCTCTCCTAGAGTAACTGCCTGTCTCCTGGAATCTCCTCCATGCTCTTGAAACTGTCCTGGGAGACACAGCAAACCTGGCAATGGCACGTATTGATGTGCCATCCTAGAGGAGATGGACTGCCTGCGCAACCTCTGTAGGGTCCAGGTATTTCCTCATGCTACCAGTAGTCACACTGATCCCAGCCAAATGCAAAATTAGTGAAAAACAGTCAGAAAAGATGAGTAGGGAAAAAAATGTCAGTGGCCTCCACCTGTGAAACCATTCCTGTTTTAGGGGTCATCTCACTGTTGCCCATCTAGTGCACCTGTTGTTTTCATTACCACCAAAGCAGCTGAAACTGATTAATAGCCCCCTTTGCTACTTAACTGACCAACTCAATCTCCCAGGAGTTTCATGGACTTGGTGCTATACACTGATTAAAAAGTGTTCCTTTACTTTTTTGGAGCAGTGTATATATGGCTTATATATAAAACTATTTGATCTCACTGGCATATAGACAGGGTCTTTTTTTAAATATATGTATAGGATTTGTTTAACGTTCAAAAATATTCTCTTTTCCCCTCTTTTTTCATTGGGATTCTCTTTTCTCTATTTTAGAGAGATTTCAGGTTTGAGTATGTGTATTTTCAAGTAAACGATTTGTGGGTCCTGAAGCAGTGGGAACACCACCAAAACACATCAACCTATGTTATTAGACACATTTTATATCCAAGAAAGAGGTTTGTACCTAGAGATGGTTATTTTTTACAGTGCCTGGGGGGCTGAATACAAATACACACGTTTCAGATATTTGTAAAATATTTTGAAAACCATTTATCATTCTCCTTCCACTTCACAATTATGTGCCACTTTGTGTTGGTCTGTCACATAAAATCCCAATAAAATACATTTATGTTTTTAGTTGTAACATGCCAAAATGTGGAAAATTTCAAGGGGTACGAATACTTTTTCAAGGCAACGTATGTCAATTTAATAAACTATGCAATTTTTATACATATTTGTGTTTGATTATACCTCAGGGGTTCAGTGAACTTATGTTATATACACAGTCCCACTTTCACACCCCAATTTGTTCATGTAATCATCGGTTCTTCATGAGATGCTGTCACAACCTCATGCACACCATGCATAAGCTGATCTCCAGTCACAAAAACGTTAATTTAAATATATTGCTTAATGGCCATAAAGGATATAAATACACTTTGTGCATCCACTTCCTTTGCTAACCCAGATATTACATTGTAAAAGTAGCAGTGACATCACTGCGTTGCACAAAGCATATACTCAGAAGAGTTGTAGGAGGGCAACGTTTTACACTGGGTTACTGCTCAGATCTGGGTGAAATACCCAAGATACACCCAGATTCAAGTATAAATACACATGACACTTGTACTTAGAATAGATTTGCTTATCCCAAAGTTCAGCTTTAAACATGGCAAGTCATTTATTCACATAGCAATAAGTAAAGCTAATGTCACACGGGTGAGTCTGCAACCAGCAACAAATCGCCAGCCACAGAGTCAAAGATCTACTTACCTTTGTGGAATTGCTCCTTCACTGACCTCGAACAATGCAAAATTTCCCTTGCTAGTGACAATTCACTGGCTTGCCTGCCAGGGTGCAACTCTATACAGACTGGTGAGCAGTCATTTAGTGATTGTGATAGTGGAGTGATGACTGACTTCAGGGGGACAGCGATTCCCCGCCAGCACCCAGCAATCTCCGAGATAGCCGACGGGGGAGAGACCTGTGTGTAAACAATACAGATCTCTCCCGTCAGCTCCTGCACACTGCTTTGTATGCCTCTGCATAGCAGATACAAAGCAGTGTGTGCTTACAGTGAGACAGCACACAGTCCCCATAGTAAAACAGCACACAGTTAACCCTTTGATCACCCCACATTAATCCCTTCCTGCCCAGTGCCATTAGTACAGTGTCAGTGATTTTCATTAGCACTGATCACTGTATTGGTGTCACTGAGGATGTCAGTGACACCAAATCAGTTTCCCTCCCCAGTATCAGAATGCCCGCCGCAGTCCCGCTATAAGTTGTTGATAACTGCCATTACTAGTGAAAGAGAAAAAAAAAAAAAAAATTCCAGTGGCAGTTAGTTCCCACCTAGTGTCAGAATGCCTGTAGGAGTCCCACAGTCCTGCTATAGGTCGCTAATTGCTGCTATTACTAGTATAAAAACAAAATTCCAGTATATATATACCGCCATTTGTAAACACTATAACTTTCATGTAAACCAATTAATTTACACGTATTGGGATTTTTTTTTTTTTTTTAGCAAAGACATGTAGCAGAATACATTTTGGCCTAAATTTAGGACGAAATTCATTTTAAATTTTTACTGAACATGTTTAATAGCAAAAAGTAAAAAATATAGGGTTTTTTTTTTCAAAATTGTCGCCTTTTTTGTTTATAGTGCAAAAAATAAAAAACGCACAGCAATCAAATACCACCGAAAGAAATCTCAATTCGTGGGAAAAAAAGAGGAAGTAAATTTAATTTGGGTGCAGTGTTGCATGACCATGCAATTCTCAGTTCAAGTGCCGTATTGCAAGAAAATGGCCTGGTCAGGAAAGGGGGGGGGGGGGGGGGGGGGGGAGTGGTTAAAATTTGAGGAAAAAAAAAAAAAAAAAAACCAGTGGGGAACCCCACACCAAAATGTCAAAAAATAAATTGGTGTGGGGGTCCCCCCACCCTTAGGATTGTTATGGATTTTGAGGGGAACGCCATGCCTAAATATAAAAAAAGAAAAGAAAAATGGTGAGGGGGTCCCTCCACCAAAATCCATACCATGGCCACATGGGGAGGGCGCTCTGGGGTAGTTGATGGGGACAAGGACTTCTTCCCCACAACCCTGGGCAGTGGTTGGGGGGGGGGGGGGAGCTTATCGGAATCTGGAAGCCCCCTTTAACAAGGAGACCCCCAGATTCTAGCCCCTCCCCTATGTGTAGGAGTACAGGGTTCATTCTACCCCCTACTCATTCACAAAAATTGTATCCCCTACTCATTTGACCCAGAGTGGCAGAGCTGTCAGACATAGGAAACCAGTGTCAACTGCAGACTTTTTTTTGTCTCAGCGGCATTCAGCTTGATTGATGCTGGATTTACTTTGGGGGACATTCTTTTTTTTTTACTTTAATAAAAGGACTTGTCAAAAACTGTTCCTGTTTTTATTTATTTTTGACACTTTTTTGGTGATTCCAATAAGCCCCCTACCCACAGACCCCCAGAACCACCGGCCATGTTTGTGGTGAAGAGGCCCTTGTCCCCATCAACATGGAGATGAGGTGCTTTGGTGAGGAGCGCCCCTACCCCAAAGCACACCCCTATGTTAAAGGCATGTGGCTTGGTATGGTGCAGGGGATGGGGGAGGGCTCTCACTCATCCCCCCCTTTCCTGGCCTGCCACGCTGCATGCTCGGATAAGGGTCAGGTATGGGTTTGGGGGGAACCCACACTGCTTTTTTTTCCCCTAAATTTTCATTGCCAGAAATTCTTTTGTTTCCATTCAGTTGTAAGTGGGGAGTCCTACTAACAGTTGACGAGTTATTTGTTGTTAAGGACAGTTTGCCAACATGCTTGAGAACCAACTATTCACTGGTTATTAAGGACACCGGTGGGCACCACTTAGGAAATAAAACGCTGTAACTGGCTTTTATCAGCAGTTCGTGTTTAGGAGCATTCAGCGTTTATGCCGGCAAAATGCTCCCAAAAGCACGTTTTCTGTTCCTAGAAAGCTTCAAAAACACTTCTAAACTACAATAATCTGCATGGACACATAGGATAAGACTATTTGCTTGAAGTGGCAGAAAAAAAAAAGAAAAAAGCGCTCATAAGTAGTTGCTAGGAGCTTATTTTTAAGCTAGTGTGCATGGAGCCTTATTGTGAAGAAGAAAGCAAATCTGACAGGTTCGTTGTGAAGTATACCTGTCATTAAAGAGAAACACATGGGTTGCCCTTGCTGGACTCCTTTTGAAAATGCTATTTTCCAGGCTGTATCTGGTTTCATTTGTTGTGAGCCACACAGACCTGAAATAAGCAGGAACCCCTAATAGTTCCAGCAATTCAGACAGTAATGAAACCCAAGAATCAGCATGCCAGTGAAGAAAACTAGCATTTTCACAAGGAAAGGTCAACAATGGCTGCTTACAGATATTTCCCATGCTAGGTTTCCTACAAAGAGGAACTCTTTGGTTTATTTTTTCTTTAAATAAAATGCCTGACTTGATTCAAACTTAAAAACAGCAGCTCTTGCAAAATTCTTTGTCGCCAGAACTGTCCACTTGCAGACTCACCACTCCATCCAGCGCTGGTGGTACTCATCCAGGTTGATTGACATTAGATGTTTTCAACCCACATCATGTGAACAAGGCTGCCATGGACACATCTCCTGGGGTATGGTTATCGGATTTTCAAAATAAAATCCATGGACATCCTCCTGAACACATCCACTTTAAACCACATTCTGAAATCATGCCATGATTAGTTGTCCTCAAACAACTGGTCACAGGCTATGAGAACAAGAGGCAGACATTCAAGGTATAAAGGCAAAATAAACATATGTCAAACAAATTTCACATAAAAGGCACTAAGATATGCATACATAGTTAGGAGGGATGTGTTGAAGGTAAAAATGCAGCATGTGTAGTCTGCTGCTCATTAAATGCCACCCCCCCCCCCCCCCCAGCATGCCACTGCTGCCATGATTAGAAATCATGGAGCCTTGGACATCTTACACAACAGTTCCCATCTTGCCAGCCACCCTCAGTAGGATTGCCACCTCATTCCTTTAAAATCAAACACATATTAATTCTAGGTTCTGAGGTCAATTTAATGCAGATAAGGAACTAAGTGAGATTAATTGCCACTTTAATTAACCACAGAACCTGTGTAATTCATATGTGTGTAGTTTTAAAGGGATAAGGTGGCAACCCTAACCCACAGGCAGCCTCTACTGACCCAATGGGGCCTGGGCCCAGTATGGGAGTGCTGGTTATACTCCTCCTTTGGCAGCACTGCCCTTCACACTTCATGATGGGCCAAATCAAAAATAGCATAATTTTATATTCTGCTCCATTATAATGGGCTGTGTCACAAGTTAGCCTGCAGTTTTCTGTTTGTGTTCTTCTTACCTCCTTGCTGCAGGCCTGGGCCTAATCCCTTCTCATGTGTTTGTCTATGCTCACCTATGGGTGTCATCTGCTGTCCTCTGGGTTTTATTTCCTTCCCTTCCATCACTTCCTGGGCCGCCTCCTTGTCTGCCTGCCTATATAATACATGCTCAGACTAGGCCATACTGCCTGAGCAGCTGCCTAGTTGTTGGTGTGCTGCGGCTGGCTGAAGCCTACATTGATTACTTGTGTACCAATCCTGGCTTTGTACGCTGACCTTGCTTGGTTTCTGCCTGTCCTGACCTTGGCTAGCCTACTGGATTCTGCTTGTCTCCTCCCATTATACTCTGCTCCTGCAATTGGTCTCTTCAACCTCAGCTGGGTGTACTTGGGGGCTGTGACCTGGTCCCAGCTTGCTGTAAGTCCATCCCCACCATCAGGGGCTCTGGTGAAGAAGCAGGCTGGGGCTTAGACTCTGCGCCCTGGGGAACCCCAAGTTGAGTATCAACAAGAACTTGCTACCACAGGTGCTGACAGACTGGCATTATATTTGGCTGGGATCCATGGATATGCTTTTTTTTTTTTTTTTTTTTTATAAAGAACTAAATATACACATTGCCCCCCATTACATCTAGCATACATAAAGCTGTATCTGTCACACATATATTATGATGTTCTCCATTAAACCAGGCTCTAGTTCTTACTATGACCATTACTCTTGGCATGCAATGCACCCACAATCCATCACATCATTACTGATTCCCTGAGCACATGGAAGGGGTGCAGTGAAGAGGCTCTGCAGCTTACGCATGTATTTTCAAATGTGTGCTAACTAAACCCCTGTTTTTAATGCATACTGTTAGACAGGACAATTTGGTTTGTTCGCAAGCTGGTTGGCAAGTTCAGCTGGGAATTTTTCTCTTTTATTGTTTGAAATGCATCGCTCTTCCATGTGCTCCTTGCTGTGAAGGCCAGTTATAGATTGGGGCAGTGGCCATTTTTTTGGACTAGTGAATGGAACCTTAGTCTAGGGCAGCCTTTCTCAACCTTTTCAACACAGAGGAACTCTTAAAATATCTATTAGGTCTCATTGAACCCCTGCTAATGATGCATTAGTGTGATGAACCCTTGGAACAATGCTCCTTACACTTGTGGATATTGGGAAGAATTACCCCCTTATAGATAGCTAAAAATATCAGTGGTATCAGTGAGAACGTATATCAGAGGCAGACACTGCTCATTCCTCAAGGAACCCCTAGCAACATTTGGAGGAATCCTAGGGTCCCATGGAACACTGGTTGAGAGCCTGGTCTAGAGAAGTGTTTCTCAGTCAAGACACCCTTTAAAATTATGCACAATCTCGAGGCACCTTATTCTAAAATGTAAGAAAAACCCTAAACTAACAGTTTTACATAATGCAGCAACATCCCACGCATGTAGGACACCCAACGTTAGAGGTGGTTTATTCTTCCAAAGCAAACATCCTTGTTATCAACTGATAACATCATTGGTGGTGAGGGGACTTACCATGCTTCAGTGGTGGACTGTCCCTCTGTGTCCTCACATCTACAGCAGGGCTGCAGAACCTGTATCAGTCTTGGTGGTGTCAAGCCCCTAGACCACCAGAACATAGGGAAGAAAAAGCTGCAGGAACTGGTCTAGAAGCATGGAGAAGCCTTCAGGAGCCAAGTATTGGGCAAGTAAAAGTGCTTTTCCATGTCCCCTAGACCTAAACAAGACATTGACACTTGCAGTGTGGGCACAACCCCATCTCAAGGGAGAGTTTTCAGGTTTCCTGGACTTCAGCTTTAAAGTGAACCTGTTAGCCTTGCTAAAGTTGAAAAAACCAAAAAGTCATTTAGGTGCCAACCTCCCCCTCACTCACTCCCCCTCTCTGTTGGGGTCCCCCCAGGGACAGTCCTTGGACCCCTTTCTTCTCCATCTACACCTCCTCCCTTGGCAAACTCATACATTCCCACGGCTTCAACTACCATCTCTATGCTGGATGACACTCAAATTTACCTCTCCACCCCTCACCTCACCCCACTTTCTCCGCCCGCATCACTCACCTCCTAAACGACATCTCTGACTGGATGTCGCTCCATTTCCTCAAACTCAACCTCTCCAAAACCGAGCTTCTCGTTTTCCCCTCCT